AGGGTTGACCTCAGTATTACTAAGAAGAGTTCCATGAGGTCGACTACTAAGTGAGTTAGCAATCTGTCTCAATTGGTTCTCTTTGTTCCTAATCGTCACACCTTGGTTTTGTAGTTGATTTCTCATATACAAAACAACTTCTTCCCAAGACAACTTCTCCTTAAATTATTGGTTTGTGTTAAAACCAAGAGGATAAGAAGGTCTCAAGTTATAACTACCTTGATTATTTCAATTTCTAAAATTATTAGGTGGATTACTCCCCCATTGTTGGTTTCCTACACCTTGATTGTTATTCCAACGATGATTGTAATAATTCGAATAAGGGTTGTTAGTCCTGTTGTTGATTGCATTTAGGGTCTCAAAAGATGAAGTGTTAGCATCAACCAGTTGCTCGAATGAATTTTAGTCAATTACTTGGGGTCTTTGAGGTTGGTTTATCCCTAACTAATCTAGCTTCCTAGATCTAGCTACTACCTAGGAAATCAAAATAGAAAGCACGTCTGTTTCATGTGCACTCGCTACCTTTTTGGGATTCACTCTCTCAAAATGTCTTGAAAATTGTTGGTAGTTATCTCCTCAATTAGAGAATAGGTCTCATCAAATGGCTTTGACATTAATGAGCCACCAGCGGCAATCTCAATGATAGACCTAAGAGAACCTACTAACCCGTAGTGAAAATTTTGAATTATCAACCAATCAGGCAGTGCATGATGGAAGCACTTCCTAAGAAGTTCCTTGAATCGTTCTCAAGCTTCATAAATCGACTCACCTTCAAATTGGTAAAATGAAATTATATCATTCCTAAGTTTAGCCGATTTTTGAAGGTGAAAAATATTTAGCTAGAAATTCTTGGGCTAAGGTGCCAATGAGTTTAACCACATTCTGACTTTGTCCCTCAAGGATAAAAGGAAAAGCCTTAGCTTAACAGCGTCGTTCGAAACACTGTTATAGCGAAACATTGGTGCAGAGTTCTAAAAAACTAGCAAAGTAGGTTTGGACCTTCATATAGGGTTTCCCCAAATTAGTTGTTCTGTGCCATTTAGATGATATCGGGCTTTAGTTTGAATGTGTTAGCTTCTACGACAGATGTTTGAATACTCAAATGAATTTCCTCTATTGTAAGATTAGCATAATCTCTTAAAGGTCTATATGCATTTCGATGTATTCAAGACTTTGCACAGTTAACCTTATTGAGTATGCCCCTTTTCTCGGTTATTCTATCGAGAGCAACCGTCTAGCCTTTTTCGTTGTTTTCTTAACTTTTGTTATTGTTACTGTTGGTTTCAAATCTTCAAGATTACATCTTCATATTAATTTGTTTGGCTGTGATTGGATTTATATATACATTTACTAGTTACAATCTAAAATCTGTTTCATGCCACATAAACTTATCAAATAACTTTGGATGGGATACATTCTCAGACCATGGTCCTTTTGAGCTTCTACTTTTGGACCTTTTATCTAATTGTCTGACAAGCTTTTCCCTTTTGTTTTTTGTTTTTTTTTTTGTTAGCCCTTTTCTTTTATCTTCTTGCAATTTCATAGTCTTCAGTGAAAGTTGAGCATTAAACTCATTTTACCCGAGAAAAAAAACATTTTAATGTTCATTTTGAAAACATTCGTTAACCCAAGGAAATAATTTTCGAAAAACCCCATTTGTAGCTAACTTCAACTAGACTTGTGCCATGATTTTAGAGCACATTGCAAACAGGCCGCCCTCAACAATAAAGAAAATAAAATGTGATCATGAAATAAAAAATAAATAAAAAAAAGTGAATGAATCACTTATATTTTTCCTCCAAATACTCTATTTCTTTAACTACACGTGCTGAATGCAAAATGTATTATAATAGTAACCCAGGATTGACTTCAAAAATCCATGCAAAGTGACAAACGTGCGTTACAGAAGCACCCATCCCTTGTGTCAGATTTCGACTCTTAATGCTGCAGCCGAGACTGTTCTCCTTAACCCACGTGCAAGGTACATTAAAGAAAGAAATCATTCATGTACCTTTTATATATATATATATATATATATATAT